CGCCGAATTGGCCGGCTTCACCAGTAGAATCTACGTTTTGCTTCAGGTGCTGCATTCTCTGGACAGAGGGCACTACCAGTCGCTTCCTCGACCGGACGACTTGTCGGCCCATCAACCTTTTTATGATTTGGGAAGCATCAAGGGAAGAGTGACGCGAGGCTCGGAGGATGTGCAGCTTTCCCACGTGCCCATCGTTGCGCCCGCACCTGGCGTGGAGAGGGGGGGAGAGGAGTTGGTGAAGGACTTGAGCTTGCGCGTCCAACCTGGCATGCACGTCCTCATCTCTGGACCCAACGGGGTGGGCAAGACGGCAGTGGCGAGGGTCTTGGCGGAGCTTTGGCCCGCTTTTGAGGGAGAAATGCACGTGCCGGATGCGAAGGGTACGATGTTCTTGCCGCAAAAAGCCTACTTGACCACGGGAAGTTTGAAGGAGCAGATCATCTACCCGCACGCTGTGCCTCAATGCAGCAAGACGGATGCGGAGCTGATGGAGATTTTGGGAGCGGTGCATTTGGCGTACGTGGTGGAGAGGGAAGGAGGCTTTGGGGCGAGAAAGACGTGGACGGATGTGCTTTCGGGAGGAGAGAGGCAGCGATTCGCATTTGCCAGGCTGCTCTACCACGCTCCGCGATTCGGCATTCTGGACGAGACTTCGAGCGCAGTGTCGACGGATGTGGAGGGGCTGATGTATCAAGCTGCTAAAGAGAAGGGCATCACCCTCATCACCATCTCTCACAGACCCAGCTTGATGCGCTACCATACGCACCTCTTGCACCTTGGCGGAGAGGCCAATAGTTGGAAGTTGGAGCAGCTGGAAGGTTCGAACGAGGCGCTCAGCTTTGAGGAGGAGATCAAACAGCTCAAGAATCAGCTTAGGGATGTGGAAAAGTGGGAGAAGAGGGTGGAGGTGATCAAGAAGGAGCTGAGTCCCAAGGCGTAGTACTTTGTGCAGAGAAGGTGTCTGGACGGATCTTTCTTGTGCTTCTTCTGCTCCCTCGAATACCTCCTCCACTCTCACTACACTACTCCACTCTCACTACACTACACGCCGCGCGCCCCCTCTTTTTTCTTTCTTTCTAGTGGTTTGCCCTCCCACCTCCCCTGTATTCACCTCAACTTTGTCGCAGGATGGAACGGGAGGTCTGGGAATCTCATCGATTATACTCGTCGGGCAAAGTGAGGACGACTTCGACTCGGCTCGACAAGAGTGCCGAAGCACACATCTAGTGCAACTGTAGGCAACGCGTCGCTGGAATGTGGAAAGCTACATTTTCGGGTTCGTGTATTGGCACGCCTTGGCAAGAGTTGAGGGGTCACAGTCTCTGCCTGTGGTACACATTCGTCGTGGGTCGAGAGGGCTTGGGAGGGGGATGGATGACTTGCGCATGTGATCGTCTACGATCTGGGACGTGGTTCAGTGCTACAAGCATTCTTTCTCATTGTCGTTGGGACGTCTGGCTTCTGTATCAGCACTTTTTTTTTTCTGTTCTTGTCTTCGTGCAGCGTTCTGCGTATTGACCGTCTTGCCGAAAACTTCGAAAGGCTCGTCTTGGGATTCAGTGCTACAAGCATTCTTTCGCAATCATTGTCGTTGGGACGTCTGGCTTCTGTATCAGCATGTATGTTTTCTGCTCTTGTCTTCGTGCAGCGTTCTGCGTATTGACCGGCTTGCCGAAAAACTTCGAAAGGCTCGTCTTGGGATTCAGCGAACCCATTCGGAGCGTCGCTCGAGCAAGTTCCATGAGCTCGGCATCTCTGTGAATAGGCGCAATGCCATTTTGAGCTGGCAAGCGGCAGCGGAATCGAGCGAGTGCGTTTCGCAAACGCACCTTGAATTATCGTCGAGAACGCGATGATGCTCTCCTCCGATCGCCTCTCCGCATTCAGGACACGTCGCAACCTCCATTGCTTGCCCGCACTGATAGGGTAACAACATCAGGCGCAGGCCAATCATTTGCAACTTTTTTTTGGCGATGATGAGCGAGCGAAACGCTTGCGGATGTGCTACTCACATCTCCAATCGTAAAAGAGTGCCCATTCGGACAGCGATAAAAGTGTCCGTCATCGGCGTACTGGAATGCTTTGATAATCATCGCCTTTTCCGAGAGCGTGACTGGCCTGTAGCGCACGACTCCCTGTCCAAGCTCGAGCAGCCACTCCGAGACGCTGTGGTGCATTGCTTGAAGCTCGCGAGACAAGGTCTCGCCTTCTTCGCAAAGAGTCGGACTCGTCGTGGCCGTGAAAACCTCCCATGCGGCTTCTGCGCGCTCTCGGGCGGCGGCGAGCTTCTTGCGCGCTCTTTGAAGGCTCTCTTCCGTATTCGCTGCATTCTGTCTTGATGTGATCTTGGAGGCTGTTCTCTTTGTCGAAGGTCCCGCTTTGAAGCCGCTTGACATCGTCTTCTCCAACTCGATCAAGAATCGAGTATGCTCAAAATCGATGCGATACAGAAGCAATTCGGCTCGCATTTCCAGTCGTCCCGATTTGGCTCCGCGCGCTTTGCGTATGACCTTTGCGGCATCACAGCCCGAGCTCTCGAGCATAAAACATACCTGTTGACAAAATAGCAAGGTAGAATCAGCGACTGCGTACTTGTTGAGGTGGACCTTGAAGGCTCAAAGGAGACGTACTTGAAATCGCCACAGACGTGCTTCGCCAAAACGCTCCTTGTCAAGCATCTGCTGCAGCGCGGTGGCGATGCGCAGCATGGCCACACGCGCATGCAACATCATGAGCATGGCCTCAATTTGAATTCGTGTGTCGGCCTGAGGTCGAGGCATGGCTACGCATCGATGAGCTTCCGCCAAAGCCCTTGCGTCCGAGGTCGGATCGTCGTCGGGATATTTGGGGCGCGCTTGCTGGTATGCCTTGCTCAAGGCTGCTTCGAATGCCTTTGATTCAAGACAAAAGGTTTTCAAGGTCAGCGTACTGGGGTTCGTCGAATGTCGAAGTTGGAAGGCCTCTGCCGGACTCACGGTGACCAGTTGCGCTAGACGACCGAAAAAATCATTACATAAGCAGGAGCTCGAAGTGGTGTCCTTGAGCTGTGCGACTCACTTTTGCTTTCGCTCAGCTGACGAGCCTTCTCGTAGAGGTGGCGCAGCTCGCTTGTAGCTCGCAGCCACGGATGGTGGATATCATAAGGCACCTTAAAGGCCTTCGAATTTGTAAGATTGTGTGCAGTCATCAGGAGCGCTTCCGATTCCTGCTTCTGGCGATCGCGACAAATGAAGCGCAACGCGTGGCTCGCTGGCTGATCGATTTTGGGCGCCTTCACCCGCGATTTGCGAAGTTCGGACAAGAGAGAGTCAATCTTGCTCGCAACGTCGATAGACGTCCAAAGCCTCTGGAGCTTCTCGAGCTCCTCACCGAGACGAGCAAGCGCTCGCCTCTCGTGCTTGTCCAGACGTGAACGCGCGAGCGGTCGACCGTACCTCGGTGACAGAATCTGTGCTCGACAGGTAGGGCATGTGGGACCATTGCTGAAAGCGGAAGGCGGTTGACGTAAACCGTCCCATTGCCCATTTTTCGGATTCTGTGTGAAATATAGAGGCATCTCGCAGTGCCCATCGAGAGTCTCCACTGTAAAAGTATGGCCACAAGTGCTGAGAAGGTGGCCACGAGCTCAGCAAAGTGCTCAGATGTCACAGGATTATATGCGGGCCGCACGGCACTCACAGAGTAATGATACGCTCCGACAAATCACTGGCAGTGTTGTCAAGATCCAAAAGCGCCCTCATACCGAGCAGATCCACGATTTGGTGTTTTTCGTGGTCCGTTGAGCACGTTTGACAGAGCTGCTGAGCACAAGGTTCTCCACAGACTGCGTTGCGAGCGGAGGTCAGCACTGCGGCACGCACATCAGCCAATCAAATACATACCGGAGGGACAAGAATGGCCGCAGGCCAACAACTTGTCACAAGCTTCGTCACATGGCAATCGTCCACACGGCTGTCCGAAATGAGGACACGTCAGTGCCTGATGGAACCTGACACGTCCACCAAGCCAGACTCACCGTGCCGCACGGCTCTGGACAAGCGCCCTGATGCTTGCAACTCCAGGCGCAAGGTTCCAAGCAGATGACGCACGGATCCGAGCACAGGGCATCGCAACGGCGATGTTCGCACGTCTGCGTGTCGCATCTCTCTCGACAAGGTCCACAACCTTTCCCTGTGTGGGTCATGTTGCACTTCGCCCCGCACTTGTGTCGACAGCTCTTGCGTTGTTTTCCGCATTGGTGTTCTGAGTGTGCCAGACGAGGCACGAGGTCCGGTGTCGTGCAGTCGGACTTTTCACTTGTATCATCCATGCCTTGCTCGCTGTGGTCGTCGCGCTGCGTGGTGGGCGCAGAGAGTTGCTGGCAATTATGGCAATCCGCCTCACAAAGACGGTCGCAACATATCAGAGTGATGCCGCAAGCGACAGTGCATTTCACTGCGGAGGCATCGACATGGCATGGAAGACGCATTTGATGCTCGCAGTGAGTCACCTGCTTCTCTACCATGATGTGACAGGTGTAAGTGCCGGACGTTGCAGCATGACACGGCACGCGCTCGGCCTCGTGACCGCACGGCAGGGAAAACGCGGCAATTTCGAAATCGCATTTTCTGATCGGCCAAAGCATAGCTCATCAGCAGCGGTGGGAGCTCGCTGTCATATTCACTTACCCGCAGTCCTGCCAGCACGATTTGGAGCAGGGATGCTCACAGCCAGGATGCAGCCGTCGGCAATCGGAGTGACAACGAACATCGAAGTCCTGTCGCCAAAGAAGGGAAGACCGTGTGCATTTACGCCCTAGATTTCTGGTGGCTCGAGATTTGGCAGAAGAATTTGGAACTCACGTCGTGGCTTCGTGGGTGGCACTGTCAGGAAAAGTTGCAGGTCAGAAACGGCCCTCAAACAGACCTTATCCAAGCCGGCAGCTGGGAACGAACCTTCAGAGGGCACACATGGCCGCATGGAAGCTCCTTGCCACATGGTCTAGCGCAGCCTCCATCGGGCGCCCAGTGCGCTATCTGCTCTGGGTTGACTGCTAAGAAGTCTTCATCCGGATGCGAGACACATCGAAGCTGTTTGATGATTTGGAATGGCGTCAGTATGGCAACGAAGTTGCAAAGCGCTTTGTGGAACCTACCGGTAGGCCGGTAAGGATACTGCCAGTCTTCTCGAACTTCTGAACGACTGTAGCCCAGAATGGGCTCTGCACTGCCATTTGCGTTGCGTTACCCATCACAATCATTGCATCACGCGCCCGCGAGAGAGCGACATTAGCGCGATTGGTAGACTGGGGCCACAGAATAGGCAAGGCAGTCATTGGTAATCTCGTAAATAGTTAATCTTGTCTCTTCGAGTGACGCAGTTCTAATCAAGCTCACTTTGACGAAACCTGCGCTTCTAGACGAAAGCGCTGCTTCGAAACTACTAAGGTCACCTTCATTACGGACCAATGAGATGATCACGATCTTGGCTTCCTCGCCTGGATGAACACATTACAAACTTTCAGCAGAGCTCTCGACCGGCGGTGTGTCTAAAAGTAAATCACTTACCTTGAAATCGATCGACCGTACCGATGCGGACTGCCGTGCCAAGGGACATGTTCTTGATTTTCATCTCTTCAGGCTGTAGGGTAGCGCTGTCGGGTATAGCAGAAGCGGCGTGGAGAGCTGCTTCGTCTCGCTCGTCAACTCTGACAGAGATGTGTTCAGACGCGAGTCTTTGCCGCATCCGAGCCAGCTGACCGAGGTAGGTCACAAGGATACATATGTCCCCGGGCTTTGTGTACCCTTGGTTCAGCAAATGCCGAACGGTAGCGGCAGCCATTCCCACCTGAGTCAAAATTGGTCCTGCAGTCAGCGTAAATTCATCAAGACATACGATCGGTAGGAGCTCACTTCATAGCCGTTTGACTTGCTAGTCGAGTGTTGCATCGTTTCTTCTCGGTGTGTGTGATGCTGAGGTGTAAAATCACTATGATGTGAGCTCATGGCCGTCCGATGCGAGAAGCCTGCGTTGGCATCTTCACGCACTATCCACATTACATTTTTGCCAAGCCCCTTGATGTCAGGTCTATCGAGGGTCGTGTTGTGATCCTCCAAATTTTCGTATAAGCCTCGGACGAGCTCAGAGATCTCTGGACGCATGCGACGCTGCACTTCCAGCCGTCTCATGGGAATGCGACACTCTGATGCTAGGCGCTCCATGAGAGACAAGTCGAGGCGATAGGCTTGTCCGCCCCGCGCGTTCTCAACAGATAAGCCAAAATTGTTGATATGAGGACGGAGCTGATCCCTGCTCCATAGATCGAGTCAGGCAAGCGAGCACATGAGCCTCAAGCACCTCGCCCGCTTCTTCCACAACCAAGACCCGAGGCTTGATTCGCTGGACATGAGAAGGGACAGGTGTTGCGCTTGATTCGTGAGCGTGACTTCTCGTTTCTTGAAGGCAACATTCTCACCTCTAGAAGGCCGCAAAGCTGTGCAGCGCCGGTCGTGGTGCACCCGATCACTTTGGCCTCTCGAGCAACTTGAAGGCGAGTCTGACAAAGTCATCATAAACACTCAGCATCGGCGCATGGCTACCAGCGCGACACGAGCTGTGCTTACTTGATCTTTCAGCTCATTTATAGCTGCTTTGGCGGTTGAAAGCTCTTGTGCTGTGCGATCCATCTCGGGGATCGCAATTTCCATCAAATCGCCCTGCCAATGCTCTAGTAGCCTCTGTCTCTCGGCCGGGCTAAATGTCCACACTTCCGTGTCCGCAAGAAGCTCTTCCAAGGGGCGCACCAGGGTACTGGCTTGTGAAGCGCTGGAAGGACTGGATGAACTGTGTGTGACGTCTGCATCCAGTGTCGACATCATCGCGCGCTTGTCAAGCTCGGCGGACTCGTCGCTGTTCCAGAACCAGCCTACGTCCGAGTCGTCATCGCCGTCGTCACTGCCATTAGCCGGCTCGGAGTCGTCACTATCATACTCTGATTGTAGCAAATTCCACATGTTCGTCGCTGGCTTCTTGTTATCGTCGTCTCGCTGTTGAGGGACAGTCGAGGAACTGAGAACGCCAGCGTCGTTCAGAACATGTGTTGCTTGATCCGAACGTTCGATATCTTGCAGTGATCCCCAGTATGATAAAAGCGTCTCATCATACGAAGGCTTGTCGGCCCGCGACCAGGTCCGGTATTCCTTCCACAATTGAGCAATGTGGTCGGGTGGCTGTTGGATCGCGTGGAGTTGACGCGGGTAATTGTCTTCAAGGAGCTCCTGGAGCAAATTGTAGCTCCAACTGACAAAATAAAACGAGGACGTGTTTGCGAAGGCGCGGGGCAAGCGCTTCAATCGCGGCGACTTACTGAGCACGGCTTGCAACTTTCGCTGCATCCAGCATTGACTGCTCCGCTTTTTTCATGGTTTTGAAAGCGCGAGCGTACTCTCCACCTCGGGCCCTGGGGACAGCCTCGCAAAGCCGGTCTAAGTTGAACTCGCTGATCGTGCCAAGCTGTGATCGTGAACCAAGTCTTACAAGACTGCTGATGCCGTGTCTATGCAAGTCATCTAGGAATCGGTCCAGAGCATGGTTGGTCACGCACACCACCAAAATTGGGGAAATGTCGGAATTTAGGAGCGTCGACAAGAGGTGGACCCCTGTGTAGCTCTTTCCGGTGCCTAGAGACAGCACAACGGACACCCACAAGGTTTGATCCTGACTCCTGAAGCTTCGGATGGAGCTGAGCAGCATCGGACTCACCTGGCGGGCCTTGTATGAGAGACACCTGGGTGTCCAGCGTCGATAGCAGAGCTGTCATCTGCGAACCGTCGAGCACGCCATCAGCTAGCAAAGCTTGCTGACGGATGTTCTCTGGCTCCACGTGAAGAGTAGGTGCATCCTGGGCCCCATCAGTCGAGCCGTCCGTACTCGAATCCCTTTCCTCAGTCGTTTCGCTGGGCGCCTCGTCCAAATTCTCAGCAATGGCGGTGAGCAGCTCTAAGAAAGCTTGGTCTTGAGGCGGAGATTTCTTCAAAAGCCCCGTGAGGTCGAATGTGAAGCCTGGGATGCGAGAGTAGTTGGGTGATTTCATTTCTACGTCTCGCAGTGAGCCAGCGGCCCGCGACGTGATGACTTCGCTGAACGGGATGTCGCATGCCTGATCAGCCAGTCTCTGCAGCGAGCGCAAGAAAGGTTCAACAGTGCTGAACAGAACTCCCGAGACCTCGGCAATGAGGCTGATGCCACGCAAATCTTCTCCGTGTCCAGCAGCGACCTCGAGCATTGCGTTGTCGAAGAAGTGCACGTCTATAGTCAGCGATCCATCTGCGCCGATGAACCTTTTGCACTGATCTCCCAGGTAGGAGACTACTGTGCCCAATTGCACCGTCATCTCAGCTTCTGAGTCGGCCAAGGCGACGTATGCCACCAATGCACCAGGGGTCAGCCCTGAGGAGAAGCGAACACGTCATCAGCACGATTGCGAATCGAACGGTGCGCAAAATTCTTTCATGCACTGACCGTGTTTAGTGATGGACTGCCAATATGCAACACTGTTTTTACGGTGAGCATCTCTGATGTCGAGAGAGGCCGGTGCTGGCAGAATTATACCAACGGCCGGCCCCTGCTGCAAATGATGTGAGCAGGACGTGCGGCGCACACATCATGACGGATCCCAAAACTGACCTTTGCAGAAATGGAGATTTGGGAAAACTTCACCTCGCCATCGCCATACAGACGCAGCGTCGCGCCGTCTTCAGGCCCACGGTACAAACCACCGTGTGATGCAAGAAGTCGCGAACACTCATTCTCCTGATCATTGCCTGTCAAAGTCTGCCTGAGGTCTTTGATGAGAAGGGGCAATGTCTCTAACAGGGGTCCCAAGAACTCGTGTCGAAGCAGTCGGAATTGAGTGTCGATTCTGCCACAGGGACTGAGCATCTGTCAGCGTAGCATGGACGATAGATAAGCTGCACAAATTGACTCACACTCGAGCCATGGAATTCTCGGGCAGATGGTGTGGCGCGCCAGCTACCGTCGAAGGTAGAAAGGGTGGAACATCACACCTGAGTTCTTGTGCCGTGGGCCCAATCTTGATGCGGGTGATATCCGCGTGGTCGTTATCGTGGCGGCGACCCGCCTTGCGGAGCTCGCCCGGGGCCGTCCTCTCCCAAGCGGCATGCAGCGAAGCCAGTTGGCCTGTACTGATCGAGGGTACGTCGGTGAGAAGTTGGGGTCGCCGAGAATTTGCTGAAGGCTCTGGCACATCAGGTGTGAGCCGGGCCTGCAGACGCAAAAGGACTTCTTCTGCTTGCTTGACACAGTATTGTTGTTCCTTCGTTGAGAGTGACGAGAACAAATCTTCATCGAAGCCGCCTGTTTGCAGAAGATTGAGCCACTCTTGCAGCCACCTCAACAGAAAGGCGCAGAAGCTCCAAAGCACTTTGCGATGAAAGTCGGCTGCTTCGCTGAATGTCTTAGTGTACCTGTGGGCGCATTGGATGCTCAATGAGCGACTCAAAGAGCGCTCGTTCAAAGCCTGAGCGTGCTGGACTCACTCTTCTAGCAGAATGCACGTTGGCCAAACGACTTGGAAGTATGTGACCAAGTTGAAGTTCCTCGAGTTACCGGGCGCCTTGAGCTGACGTGCTTTCAACAGAAGTGTCAAGTGGCACTGGATTGACTCCAGCATTGGGACGAGGGAAAGCTCGACGATCCCCAGCAAGTGCGATCTGTTGATTGAAGTGGAGTCCAGGACTTGCTCGCTGCTTAAGAACTGCAAAGGATTCATACAGCAAGGTTTCAATCCAAGCGCAGTCCATGCGCGAAGCTCTAGCTTACTCACCAACAGCACTGGCACCATGGTCTGCTGAAAAGACATTTTGGGCGACGCAAAAGATGTGGTGACGGAATCGTGGTCTGCGATCAAAACCTTACGGAGCGTAGATGCGCCAGAGCGATTCCGATCTGCCATACGTGCGACCAGTTCAGCTCGCGCAGCGTGGTCGGACTGGTGGAAAAAATGTGAAGCCTTGCGAGGGAGTGAGCGAGATATTCTTCGAAGGGGCCGCTTTCCTGCACGTGGTCATACACACCCAAGAGTTCATCGACATCAGCATAGAGCCGAGAACTTTGGCCTGATCGGGGTGATCAAACTCGAAGGCCGGACGCAAAAAGGTGTTCAGCCGACGATGCACGTCTTCGGGGCTGATACCGCTGCGTGGAAACAAGACGTTGCTTCGTCTCGTGTGTAGCGTCTGCATTAGTACGCGCTGAAGTCGCGGCGGCTCAAAGTTGATCGGTTCGTTTCCTTCTGCGACTGCCTTTGTGCCCGGTATGGACACGGCGCTGGAGGGGCCAGGCGGAACGTTGAAACGGAAGAAAGGATGTGCGTTTGTTTTGTCCGAGCGAGTTGGCGTGTCAGAGGGTGCCTGCGCGTGGGAAAAATAGCATCGGTCACCATAGGGGCAGCCTGATGGTGACGAGTAGAGTCTGCAAGCGCGGGGGCTAGATTTCCATTTCGAGGAGTGCGAAACAGCCTCAGCTTCCTAATCAGTCAAGACACAGCATCATCGCTCACTCACCCTTGCGACATACTTGCAGCTCAACGACAGCGCTCAGGGCGCTGCCAGACGGTGTTCGCTTTGCTCGTACCTCTGGCACTTCTGGCACTGATGACGAGATCGTTATTCTGCGCGTACTGGATTCGGCAACCTATCAGTGCACAGGAAGTGCAGGTGAAGAACGAATGGTGGAGGAAGAGGATGAGAGAGAGGAAGCGCTACTTTGTAGGTCTTTGGCCTGACATATACCAGGGAAGCTGTCCGACGAGTGAAGATGTCGAGCAGCTTGAGGTCCCAGAAGAATCAGCAGTCATCTCGCAGATGCCTACTCTTTAAGATTTACTCTGTTCGGCGCCTCTCACTCATCAACGACACTGCTAGAGTGGTGCGCTTGACCGCCCACAGCTCCGACCCTGCTAGAGTGGCTCGCCTGAATGCCATCTGCCCCAGGCCTTGCAGCAGATGGCGATCCGCCTCGTATCACGCGTGGCGACATGTAGACCGATGGACTTGAGACACTGTGTTTCTCCTGAGTCTAACGCGGCAATCTTGAGTGCGAATTTTTCTGACACAATCAGACACGCGTCGCCCTTTTCATCTCGACGGCCGAGCGGCACTCCATGCTGAAGTTGACGTTCAAGCAGGTGTGATATTGACCCAGCCTATAAGCTTGGCGAATCCAAATTCTCAAGCTCCAATTCGGCTCAGACAGCGAGTATAACGCGCAGCAGGGCATCAGATCCAGGTTGCTCAGCTGTCACGAGTGTGGATGCGCAGACAGCACTCTTCTTTGGGGGCAGCGGCAGCGGGCAAGGACCAGTCAGTAGACAGATGCCTCCGCAGTAGAGACATGGAACACTCACTTGACACCCAACGCTTTTGATTCTGTCGGTCTGTCTTTGAATCACGCCATTGCGTCGTCTCAGCTACAGACGTGACCATGTGTATCAGCCGTGCAAATGAACCCACGGCCCTCACTCATCATCGGGCTGGGCTGAGCTGAGCTGAGCTCGGCCAATTGAGACTCGAAGTGTCCCTCATCATGGCAGCATCTTGTCGCCCAGCTAGGATGCAAAGGAACTTGAAGTCGAGAGGACGAAGGGGACGAGGCCAACGAGCGTACACTTGCATTTACGAAGCCTGCTTCACGCGCTCAGAGCAGGCAAGCCCATTCATTCGGCGCTTGTCTTGCTGCCAATCGTCTGCCAGGACCGCCCATTCGCCGTTCGATCTCTTTCGAGCTTGCATTTGCCTTCAAGTTTTCATAGATTGCCCAGGTCTCCCTGGAGTGCTCTACGCGTAGACAGTCATCTGTCTTGGATCCAAACTTCCTGATATCTGTTCCTGATTGGGGCCCATACCCGTGCTGCATCGCCCAGCATAATGTCTGCACTGACTCTCGTGCTTTACAGGCACGTTGATAGAGTTGCAAAGGACCCCCCGCGAGCACCTCGATCGTGACTGATGTTCGATCGATTGATCTTCACGATTGGGGCTCTTGAGTGCGTTCGTGCTTGCTTGCTCACTGCGGCCTCCTGCTGAGCGAGAAAGACATCATCGACCAGCTGGATGGATGTGCGCGCGCACTGTCTTGCGCATC